CACTGCTGTGACAGGGTGAGGTCTGGCCAAGCCCCCACGGACGCCAACTGCTGCTCCAGCTCCAGGATGCGCAGACCGATGTAGGCTGAGGACAGGAGCAGGGCCACCATCCTGGGGGACAGGCCACATCAGGCACTGGGGCTGGGGACACGATGGCAGGGCCAGCACGGGGCAACCCTGGGCTGCCAGCACCGCGTTGCAGAGCCTGGGCCCTGGTGCAGCAGGGGTGTCCCAAAGCCCCGAGGTGCATGGGCAAGTTTTGGGGACTCACAGCATCAGGTAGATGAGGATGATGGTGTTGAGGGGGCTCAGCTGTGTGATGGTCTGGGCCCATAGGGCAGTAATGGGGGTCCCTGCCAGGACAAGGTGGTGTCAGTGCTGGCTCTGCCCAGTACCAGGGGCCAGCCCCAGGGCCAAGCCCCAGCAGCATCCCCCTCCCCAGGGCCCCCTGACCGACCCCACAAGCTGTGTGGCTTTGCCAAGGGCAGCTGCTCATCACCGTTCAGCACCAGCGCCGTCACCTCCTCCTCCTCTGCTGGCCTTGGGGTCAGGCTGGGCCCATCTGTTTCCAACCAGGAAATGTTCAGTGAGTGTGCCAGGGGGTCCTGGGGACCCAGCAGGGCACACTGGGCCACCAGGAGCTGATCCCATGCTCCCCGGTGCTGCAGGGCTGGGTGGCCCCTCCTGGACCAAGGGAGCTGAGCCAGGAGCCAACAGCTCACCCACCCAGCTGGGGCACGGGGCAGCTGCTCACCTGGCAGCTCCTGGAGGCTGTTGGGCTCTGCTGTGCTCTGCTCCAGGCCTGACTGGCTCGGGGTCTGAAAGAGGGCAAGCCCTGGTCATGGTGCATGTCCCCAAGGCAGCTGCTTAATGGTCATGGGGTCACGAGTGGGACCTGACGGGACTCGTGCCAGCCCCAGGGAGGGAGCTCTGAGGGTTCTGGCGTATCCACTGCCTGGGCCTGGGGCTTTTCAACTCCACATTTCCACCCAAAAGCCTTCCCGGGGTTGCAGGCACCCACACAACATGGGCTGCCACTCCTGCACCCACTCCCATCCCAGCCCAGGGGACCAGGACTGCACCTCCCTCTGCCAAAATCTTCCCACTGACCATTTCCCAGCCTTACCAGACACTTCCTACGGATTTCCTTGGTGCTTGGAGAAGCTGGAGGGCTCCAGTCATTGTCCTAGGAGAGATAAAGAGGGGTGCTGGGGGGTGCAGGCCACCCCCATGGCCCTGCCGTGGGGGGACAGAGCCCCCAAGTGCCCGTGCAGCACAGACCTGCAGGTGTTTGCAGACTGACTTCAGGAGCTGGTACGTGGCCTCCCGCCGGTGCAAAGACACGAACAGGAACTGTCAGGGAGCAGGAGAAGGGTTTGCAGCAGAGCTGCTCCCTCAGGTCCAGAGCCCACCGGCCACAGGGGCCAGGACACCCCACGTATCCCTGGGCTGAGCTGCCCCCCAGCACTGTCCCCACTCTCACCTTCTCCCCCTCGGCTGTGCGGACGCTGAGCGCGTTGGGCACCAGGAGCGCCGTGTTGGTTTTCTTCACGGCTGAGACAGAGGCAACAGGGACCACCACCTGCAGTGCGGGGCCAGGCAGTGTCACCACGGCCCCGGCTGCTGCTTGTGCCCCCCGCCCCCGCTGAGCACCCCCCG